ATAGCTGAACTGAATTTGCATTGTCTCTTGGAGTTCCTTGGGCTAGGCCTGACAATATTAAAGAGTAATATGATTCATAAACATCTTCCGGACTTACATGATTAAATATCGTCTTGCCTGATTTTAAAGCGTACAGTGGTAACATCAGTTCCACACATGACTGGGATTTATTTTCTAGATGAAGTACACTGTACAATTATTATTAAACTACGGATATGCTATCTTGCCTCCCTTTTCATGTCTTTTTCATTTCTTCTCTAGAGAGTCATCAGAGCTAATGAACAGAAACACTGCTCTTGCCCCCAAATTAATCAGGCCTTTTGTGGAACTATTCTAGAGTATTATTTACAAATTAGAGAAGTGTAGCATGTAGTTTCTTTTATTATTACAGTGTTAAACTGCCCAGTTCTGGACCCTTTTAAAAGATATATCTGGAAAAGTAATGGCATTTAGTGATCATTGTAACCTAGAGGAAACATGCTTACAATGGGAAAATGTTTATTTATTTAACATTACTTATGGCCCATCCCGATTCTAGAGAACAACCAATCCACATTACAATAAAAGCATCATCAAAAAGCAACACCAAACTCAAGATGGGCACCCACAACCAATCAACTGGGTCAAAGGTCTTGTGAAATAGAACTTGGAGTTGTTTCTGAAACATCAGCAAAGTACCCTATGAAGTAGTATCTCTCTGGATGACCATACTGAACAGACAGATCTGGCTCTGTTGAGATGTTGCCCGATGTATCCTAGCACTGTACTAATTAGGGCTTCACAAGTCATGATGAGCCCTTTGAATTGGGTTTGGAAGCCTGCTGGCAGCTAATGCAATAGCTTTAATATAAATATAATTCCATACTGATGGGGTTGTCCTGCCAGGAATCTGGCTGCTGCATTTTGTACCAGCTGTAGCTTCTAGATCATTTCCAAAGGCAGCTCCACTTAGAGTATTGCAGTAGTCCAATGGGGTGATGGTCAAGAAGTGAGTTACTGACTTAGGGCATCCTGGTCCAGGTAGGGTTGCAACTGGCACACCAGACAAATCTGGGCAAAGTCCCCCTAGCCATGGCTTCCACTCGCTGCTTTATCAGGAGCCAAGAGTCCATGGGAACTTCTAAGTGAAGGACCATCTACTTTGGGAGGAATATGACCTCATCTAGGGCTGTTTTTATTGGAATGACCAGAACTAGCAACCCCATCTTGATAGGATTTAGTCTGACCCTGTTTCACTCCATCCTGATCCAGCTATTATGAAGTGTCACTGTTTTTCATTCCACAATGAGCACACAATTAACCCTTATTTGGAAAAGGGACAAAATGGGAAAAGGAAAAAAGTAACAAAGAGATTATCTCCTTCCCCTCCTCCTCCTCCTCCTCCTCCTCCTCCTCACAGTCAGCCAGTTGTTTAGAAGATGATGATGATGATGATGATGATGATGATGATGATGATGATTCCAGCCTTTCTATTGATAGGGCACTCAGGACAGCATAAATAAATAAATACACATCATTATATCTGATAAAACCAGATTAAAGTCACATTAACTTATTCGAACTGGGTGTGAATTGAAGAGTTTTAAAAGCTTGAGAGTATCATAGGAGAACTCTTCTCCTTAGGAAAACAGACTAGATTAATAAGTTGAATTATTTTAGGCATAGCGGTAACAGAGTTTCTATCATCACACTCAGTGTTTGTTTCTTGAGTTGGACATATGACACTGACTAATGCTAGGACTAGTCCTAGTTTCCATAGTTGCAGTCTCTTACATGTCCTCTCCTATAGAGATAATCCATTTTATATCATTTATATTGGTAGTGCTGAGTTATTGTGGGGCATGTTTTTATTCTGCAGTAGCTATTTTACTTTCATGTGTCAAATTAGGGTAAAATAAGGCTTTGGTTAGTCTTCTTTCTTCCTCCTAAAAGCAAGACCACTTATATGTTCTGTTGATGGACTATCCTATTTATGGTGTAGAGAGTTTTGAAGAGCTTTTGATTTATTTTTATTCAATAATGCTCATAATGGTATAGTCTGAGAAGCTACCTAATTTTTTTTAAATAACCTACTTTAAGGGTGTCCAAGTCCAAGATTGTCAAAGTGACATCCATTGTTCTTATCTGTGCTGGAGAATGTTCAGCACAGATATTCAGCCTTCTTATGGAGAAAATAACAGAATAGGGAAAATAATATGGCTCTCTGTTTTAGCTGCCATTAAGGCTTAAAGCTGCAACATGACTGGCAAAAGATATATATTTTTTGATGCAGCATCTTGGTCAGTATACTCAATGCTAAAAATTTAAGACCATGACAAGTTTTAAAATTAAGATCTGAGCACTAACAATAATAATAGGGTTAAGATGATACTTCCCCATTAGTGATTTATTGGTAATATGAAAGTTCTCCTGACTTCACTGAAAGGAGGGGGTCTTTTGGGCTGATCAAACAGGTATGTCCATATCTAAAGAGAAAGACCTGGCTTCAGTGATTCCTATAGGCTAAACTATTCCAATGTTCTATTCATGAGATGGTCCTTGAAGGTAATCCAGAAACTGCAACTGGCTCAGAGTGCAAAAGCACAAGTCTCTCATTTTCACTCTATTGCAACTGCTTCTCTGCTTGCTGATTGCCTTCTGAGCCCACTTCAAAGGGTTCCCAATGGAGTATAAAGTTGATCTGGTTTTCCAAGCCATTTAGAGGACATGAAGCCCATCCAACCCTTTTGGGTCATCAATGAGGCATTTTTTACAGGTTCTCCCACAGATATATTTGACATCAACAATCCATTCATTTTTCTCCTTTGTGAGGCCAATATTGTGAGTCACCCTCTGGGGGAGATGGGCAGCATACAAATTGAATGAATGAATGAATGAATGAATGAATGAATGAATGAATGAATGAATGAACAAATTGCTACAAGAATTGAAGCAGGCCCTTTTCCCCTCTCCCTTTGCTGAAATTTAGGAGGATGTTCAGAAGATACTTATTTCCCTAGAACTTTTAATAACAAGAAAGGAGACATGAATCTAGTAGGTTTGGCTATCTTTGAGGAGGCAAGATCTCAGGGACAAAATCTGGGTTGCCTGCCCAGGATTGGATACGAACAATGAGTTTGACAGGATTATACAGGATCAGGCCTTTACACTCCTCAGCAGTTGAAAAATGTGAATTCTGTTCTTCAAACATTTTAAGTTTCCTTCCTCTTTTCCCTCCTTTTGCTAATTTAGATGCTCCACAACAAACACGTAATGGTTCGTGTAGGAGGAGGATGGGAGACATTTGCAGGATACTTGCTGAAGCATGACCCCTGCCGAATGCTGCAGATATCTCGGGTGGATGGGAAAACATCCCCCATCCAGAACAAGTCTCCAACCATCAAGGACATGAATCCAGACAGCTACCTGGTTGTTTCTGCTCATTACAAAACCAAAAAAGAGATTAAGTGAACTTGTCTTCTCATTTCACTGGGGACTTGGTATATGTAGACCCACGCTATTCTTCATGTGTAGTCAAATTAGTTGATGCTTTGAAAGGACTTCTGGATTTACATGCAGACTGGAAATGGCAACCCATTTCATGGATTGTTGAACTGTAGAACTATTTATTTCTAGTACTGTACCTTTTCATAGCAAGTTACTCTTGGTAGGTTAATTACTAAAACCAGATTTTTAAAACAGACATATTTTTAGCCTAATCATTACTCTATGAATGTACTCTTAGGATGACTAAAACAATATGGCTCATGTTAAAGTAATAAAATGGGACAAATTTGTATGAAAAAGCAGTAGGTATAATTTCATTCATTTCCCACAGCAAAGAGTTATATGCAGCTCAGTAGGAGAAAAAAAAAAAAGGGAGGGGAGAATAATGTAATGGGAAAAACATCTGTCTCAGGCATTGGAGAGTTACTATCATAATGGACAATGCCAGAGAAATACATTCTGATGGGTTCACATATTATGCTAAACGAAAAATGGCTCCTTGTTTATGAATTATCGTGTGTCACTCTAACCATTGCTGTTTGTAAACCATGGTTTATGGCTTAACATTTAACATATGTGAACAACCATTGTAATTTCCTCAACAAATCAAGACTGATCACTACAGTTCAGCTGTATAAATCAAATTGGTGAGTTCATTCCATGCTTCCAGGCTGACTCATGTATGGAAAGGAGCTGATCTACACGCACATTCTTTTTATGAGCTTATTAAATGAATGGGATATCTTTTGGGGAAAATATATATATACCTGCATCAGGCAGACCCATATCTATAAGTAATTGCTGGGTCAACATGATAGCCCATCTACCATATGGAATTAAAAGGAAATAATAGAAATTTTCTGCAAACTGGTGGCAAATACTTGTTTTTAATTTGTTTTGTTTATTCATATCAGAAAGTAGCTTATGCTGTTAAGTTAGTGAACGACTTCTGTCCCGGCATGTCTCAAATAATATCAATATTTCTGGAGGCTCTAAAGTAGAATGACAAACCTCATCTCTGCCCCATTTCGCCCATAGCCATCCAAGGAACCGGTTCATCCAAATAACAACTTCACTTTACTCAATAGCCAATACCAATGATACAGTAAAAAAAGCAAGAGCAATTCCCAGAAAGCCAGGATTAATGCAGTAGATGAGCCGCAAGTTAACATTTTTATTTTAACTACATTGACAGTTACAAGGAATAGGTAAGAGCACCTTAGAAATGTTGAGCATTTAGAACCATCAGATGTTTTGGAATTACATCTGTGAAAAATGATTGGGAATGGTCTTAAATTACCAGTCTAAACAGAAGTTCATTCAGGATTGCTTTTCATATTAAACCTCAAATATGTATAGACCGTTGACCCTGTGGGATACTCTCTGCCTCTGAATTCCATTATATTTGATCATATTGGAAAAAAATGAAAATGTGTGCATTCTCTGTAGATAAATGAGAAGGGGATTACTGTACACATCTCCATGATATATGCAAATGCTGGGGTTTGGTTTATAAGTTTTGCTAATTTTCCTTGACTATACTTGATAACCTTGTGCCTTGCTAGGGAAAAAAAAAATCATTGTTCAATAATTATTTGAATGATGACTGTATAAATTTGAGCTGAAACCACATGGTGCATTAGAAATAAACAAATACTTAAAAAAAACTTCTAAGAATTCTTTTTTTCATTGCTACATTGCAAATGAATGAACAGAAGCTAGTGTAATAAATTTATTTGAATTGTGCAATCATTTAGAAACTAAGTCTCCAAAAGTGATTGCTCTATCCATAAGAATAGCCACTGATGTAACACAACTTTTTAGTCACTATTGCTCCAATTCAGTTAAGAGCCCGAGGAACGTAGAGCTCAGCACTGGCAGGAGTTGCATTTAGTTTTTCATTGGGCTTATCTACAGGGTTGCTTTTGTCTGCCTCGGAGCTGGGCGTGGATTTCCCAACACATAAGGAAAACACAAGAATTGCTTGTGGAAGCTGGTCTCCCTCACAACCAAAATAGCACTGCAGAGCCTGGCAACTAGACAGAAGGGGATGGCACCACAGCTGCCCTGGCAGACCATTTGGAGCCAATCAGATCGCTAAGCCCAACGATGTCATCTTAAGCTGCTGCCACCATGTGCCATTCTATGTCCACGTGGAATGTCTTGTGTTGGCATAACGTGGAAACGACCACTTCCACACTGGAGCCTTTAATCCATCTTTGTGCTGCCTTGGCAGTGGGCAGATGGTGTGGTAGAGACAACATCATGAGAATGTGTCCCCAACAAATGGTAAGTGGGATACCTGTGTTGGGGCAAGGAGGCTACACAGAAGGGCTCAATAACAGGCGATGGTCCAGGAACAAAAAACAGAGAATCTGTTGAATGTACATATGAAGTCAGCTGCCTTAGGACATTTTAGAGCAGAAGTAGACAATTATTTCTAGGATAGAGGCTGCAACTCAACCTTCCCAAATGGGGAAAGGCCCAAAGGAGAGCTGACAATATGATGATCTCATCACTGGCTTTAAGGGTGGAAACAAATTTTACCTCACATACACCTCATATAACTTTTTTTTTTTTTACCAAAATTATGCAACCAAAATTAGCGCGCTCACTAGGATAATTTCAGGATGCTTTGAAGACTGTAAATGAAAGGGCTTGCAGCATATGGCCTTCAAATTCTCATCTGTATTTTAGAGTAACTACATAAAGGCATCTGCTTGCAACCAATAACTAAGTTATATGTTTGGTCAAACACTAGAGATCCTGCAGACTGATACTAAGCATTCATGTTGTCAGGGCAGTAGATGTTAGAGCCAATTTACTGCTTGGGGAAGATTTCTCAGGCAAAAACGGTCTGAGAAGTGGTCATTTGCTCTTTAAAATGTTGACAATCTACTGGGAAAAAATGGGGGAGAGGAGATAGATAGCACACTGCTCTTATAACAGCTTTTGCTTAAATGCTGTGCATGTAAATCCCCCTTAGGAGAGTGGGGAGATTTAAATCAGGCCAATTATATTTAATTATAATACCTGAATTTTAATTCAGCCTTATTTTAGTGTAAGTTGCTCTTGTAACTGAATCTGAAGGCTCCTCCTTTTGAATTGAAGCCTCTCATACAATTGATGGAAAGTATAAATAGCATAATTATCACCAAGGCAGATTCCTGAACTTTTTTTATTGTAGGGAAAAAAAATCTGACTCAAATCCCTTTGGTTTGCAAAGACTTGGGGGACTATGGTAAGTTCACAGAGAAGCCTCCACCATCCTATCATTCTACAGCTATGAGTACTAGCTGGGAATTCTTGGAATCCCCATTTCAGATTGAGAGGGAAGCAGTTTTCAAACCTCATTGCCAGATGCTTCTAAGAATTCCACAGTACAATATGGTAGACCCTCATCAGTCAGGCTGAGCTTCCATCCAGCAGGAGAGTTCTTAGCCTTTCAATTCAGAAGGAAGGTGCTTTTGATCTTCCCAACCAGACCAGATACACTGAACTTAAATCAATTCAAGACACAGGTTGGTCTTGTATGAAGGAAGGTTGTAAAGGAGAATTTCCTTTCTAATTCCAATAAAGCCAAATCTCTAGATATAAATGGCAGCGGGAAAGGAGGAAGAGAGGAAAAAAACAAGGGGAAGCAATAATCATACACAGAGAATTTCAAGTAAAATCAATAGGCAGCTTAGCTAAACTGCTTCTGCCTGCTTGCCTGAGATCTTGGTTACATGGTCACAGAGTATGGCAAAGAGTGGTTGGAGAGGGATCATCTACACTTTCCACTTGGAGGCTCATAGGGAGCCTTCCATATTTCCCTTTTCTCTCCCCCCTCCCCTTCAGCGTTTAACTCCGTTTTATATGTATTTGAAAACCAGTTGTTTTGCACTGACTGCTGTTTTGTTCAGTGAAGGACAATGGACCATTGATCATCTCCACCATCTAGCCAGCAAATGAGAAATTATCTAGAACAGTGTTCTTCAATCCTGACCACTTTAAGATGGGTGGACTTCAACTCCCAGAATTCCCCCCGCTGATCTAGAAGCTACATATATATCTATATCTTTCTAATGATTTTAATGAAAATATATAAGCACACTCCAGTTTCCTTAGTTGTGTCTGTATCTAAGTGAGATTACATAGTGAAGAAGGATGAATTCCACCTATTCAGCTGAATTCCACCTATTCAGACTGCTCAGCAATTTACCAAATGCTTTGGGGAAACTGTTGTGCCATTGCAAACTAAAGGTTTGTCACAACCTTTCAACTCTCTGGAATGTATTGGCTTAGATAAGCCAAGGAACATAGTTAAGCAGCCATGCACCAACAGATGTGTTTACAAATAACTCTCAATCTTCACAAACCCCTTTACCAAAAGTTGTCAAATATGATAAAAATATGGAACCACAAACAACTCTATTCTCAAAATGGCACTTTAATTATTGTTTGCACCATCTTCCTGAGGGATCCTCTGCATAATTAAAAAATCTAGATGATTTAATTCTGTTACTGGTACATTGGTATTACATTAACAAAAGCAGTAAAAGAGAATGGTACAAATGCCCAATTATCATCAGACTTTAATAGATTATACTTTATTAATGCAATAACACTACAATGAGCAAAGATGAAAGTGGGCATCAAATAATTTATTAGCTCAACCAAGGGAAAACAGTACTGCTAATAAATGAACAAGGTTATTAGAACCCAGTAACTCGAAACGAAGTCAAAAATTTAAAATAGTGCTATTATTATATAGGACTTTGTAGCACTTGTAGAAATAAATTGGAAAAGGTGCATTTGCGCACAGGAGTGTGAATCTAGCATCTGCCTGCAAATCTTTAAAGGAGCCACATCTATTCCTAAGATCCCTAGCTGTCCTCAGCAGCTCCCTCACAATCCTGAGAAATGATTGGACTGCTTTAAAGAGCTACAGGCAGAGACCATGTTAATAATCCCATGAACTCAAAGCACCTTTTGGAAATTTAATCGAAGCGCTGCCCACCCCTACTACTTTATGGCAATAAAATATGAGTCCCTGCATTCCAATTAAAATTTTTTAATCACTTAATACTGTATTTATGTGCACAAACGAGAAAAGGGAAAGCATAGTCTCTGTTAGGTAAAGGGCTGTGAATATTTCAAGATTTTTTTAAAAAAAACTTTTACTAGATTTTAATAGACTAGAAAACAACATACTTTACTGAAGTTTAACTTAACAGGATATTGGGAACTTTGAAGCTTCCAAATGATTTGCATCACATTTTAAGTGGGAAAGTTTATTATTAGCTAAGTTCTTTTCAAATAGTCATTATTTTGTCACGGTTGTCTGGGATGGAAAGGGGAAGAAACAGAAAAAAAAAAGTTCATTTGGACATTTTATTCTCTCACATGTATACCCATATATACAATACTTGTCATTACTTTTAAATATATTTTCTGAAGCATTTTTTTTTTAAAAAGCAAAATCTATAATGTTGGGAATAAGTAAGAAGCAACCATCTTTATTTCTGATACAAGGCAAGATAAACTGCATATTCATTTCTCTCATAAAAGTCAATACTACTTCTTGGTTAAAATTCAGGATGCATGAATTTTCCCTATATTAGTCTGGAAGTTCAACTGATTTACCCTTTCTTTCCACATCACTTCCAGATCAGCTCCAAAGGATCCTATGGGAGAACAATCACATAAATATATTTATATTTACCCTGGTATGTTAATATGAATTACATTTTAAACATATGTTTACACTGGATGTAACTGCAGAATAATGTCTTTGAACCAGTTTTCAAGGATTATCAAGCTAATTTTTATAAAGGAATTTCATCACAAAGTAGTAGGATCATATAGCTCTCCTTTTATGAGTTTTCCTTCCAAACAAGTGGTAAAGCAGAACACCTATATGTAGTTCTTTCACTTGTTAAAAAAAATAAGAGTCCTGTATTTTGGCCTGTATGTTTGTAAACCCTGCACATAGCGTAACGTGTAAAACTAAGACACAAGGGTAGGGATTTTTCAATCATGGCAATGTAGCTGTTAAATGTGTAACCAGTAGAAGGCACTAAAGCTTTGATTCTGAAGTTCTTCCTCTTAAAATAAGCCTGTTGGTTTCAGCCATTTAATCCAGGGTAACAGATTCAAGGATTGTGGGCTGGATTGAACTGAAGCATACAAGTGTAACATGGGTGAGATGGGAACAAGCTTAACGAAGGGCATTTTGAAAGCAGAATTGTTCCCTACGATCACGAAGGCATGAAAATATCATCTGCTTACACAAACAATTCCCACAATTCACCCCTCCAGTACATTTAGACATGCAAAGTTAGACAATATGGCAACACAACTAGGAAGTGATTGGTTTGGGGCATCTTTGCTGGGTATTGTGAAGTTTTGTTTATCCTTAGTGCACGTATGTCATCTACCCTGCTACAATGGCCAAATATTGCTGCATCTTCAGAGGCACACAGCAAAAGCCAAACAATTAACAAGTTTAATTCAGCTGCAGCAACTGGCAAGTTATTGGCAGGACAAAGTTTCACCCTTCTTCATTCAGGAGCTGCTTGGTAAGTTATCCAACTTGCCACTAAAAGTAAAAACACATAAAAGAGAGAGTATTAGCTACTTTTTAGTGCAAGAACGTTACTCAATTTCTTACATGCACAACCTAACCTTGTTTTATTCCACCCGCACCCCGCTTTGTGGGCCACTTTTAGAATATGCAAAATCTTCTTTTATACTGTATAGTATTTTGTAAAATTTGTGATACCTAATAAGGGTGTTTGTTTCCTTTTGTATTTGAGTTTTATTGTATTCCAAATAACAATTCTGGTCTATGAGTATATGTAAAGGAAACAAATATATATAGTGTGAATCCATCTGTGTGAATCCATTGCACCCATATCCTGACGTCAGCCTATCAGTCTTCAGCTTTAAATGGAATTCCTATCCAAACAGGATGGAAGCGCTCCAGAACAGTCCCTTCATCCACTCCTCCCATTGTCACCGTTTCTCTTCAGGCAGTCTCACATGCAATGAGTCTATACACAAAGAGAAAGCTTGTACACTGTTATGTGTGAAGAATTTGTACTGCGGTCATATGTGTGAAGATTTTGTACTGAACACATGGATCTGGGCAGAACTCAAGACTGTAGAGTGATATTGACAAGAGAATTGCTCAAACCTTCATATGCTGTGAACATGGGACTGAATGTGTGAACAAGGCTGAAGGGATCTGCCCAAGCAATTTCAACTGTCTTGCCAAAATCCTAAAGTACTTATCCTAAAGTTTCAATAAACAGAAGAGGCATAAAGTGACTGATATCAAGCCAGGTGCATAAACAGGTTTTATGAAATACTGAGAAACAACCAGAAGAAAGAGCTTTTGTCTTCACACCCTGACTGTGAGACTGGCAACTAGAGGAAACAGTATGCTGGACAAGCTTGGCCTTTGATCTGATCCAGCCAGGTTTGATTCTTCACTTCTTACCCTTAGATTGCCTCCTTCTGGTCCATGGCTTTCAGTTTCAAGACGTTTCTCCATTTCTTCTTGTTTTCGTTTCTTTTGTTCCACAGAAGAGAGGTTCTTAATACCACGAGATGCAGCCTTTGGGGGGGGGGGGGGAAATGGGGGACAACAGGTACATTACATCCCTACTTTTTTACCAGCAATACAATCACAGCAAAGTAAATTTACTAAATTAATTTTATTTCGTATAAAACTCTAATAAAACTGTATTATTTTTGTGTAACCTTGCTTAGAGGTGTGATAATATATGACTGTAAAAGCATGGGTTTCAACCAAAAAAAATCCTATAGAAAAAAAAAATGTTTTTTGGAAGCTTTTGGACCAGTTCTTCCTTTTTCCTCCAGAAGTGGGCAGGGGCCAGAAAGCATAGTTTGAAGCCTACTTGGGAAGCAAATTTCAGTTGGGTTTTAATTCCCTCATAGATGGCTGTTCTTATTTATAAAGTATGGGTGAGAAAATATCCTATTCAAATGTTCTTCCTTTCATAAGTAGTCACTATATAAATATAGGCAGCTATATT